TAAGCTTCATTAGGTCCCATTTTTTAATTTTTGTTTTTATTTCCATTTCTCTAGGAGTGGGTCAAAAAGGATCTTGCTGTGATTATGTCATGGAGTGTTCTGCCTATGTTTTCCTCTAAGAGTTTTATGGTGTCTGGCCTTACATTTAGGTCTTTAATCCATTTTGAGCTTATTTTTGCGTATGGTGTTAGGGAGTGTTCTAATTTTACATGTAAGCTGTCCAGTTTTCCCAGCACCACTTACTGAAGAGACTGTCTTTTCTCCATTGTATACTGTTGCCTCCTTTATCAAAGATAAGGTGACCATATGTGCGTGGGTTTATCTCTGGGCTTTCTATCCTGTTCCATGGATCTATATTTCTGTTTTTGTGCCTGTACCATACTGTCTTGATTACTGTAGCTTTGTAGTATAGTCTGAAGTCAGGGAGCCTGATTCCTCCAGCTTCATTTTTCTTTCTCAAGATTGCTTTGGCTATTCAGGGTCTTTTGTGTTTCCATATAAATTGTGAATTTTTTTGTTCTAGTTCTGTGAAAAATGCCATTGGTAGTTTGATAGTGATTGCACTGAATCTGTAGATTGCTATGGGTAGTAGAGTCATTTTCATAATGTTGATTCTTCCAATCCAGGAACATGGTATATCTCTCCATCTGTCTGTATTACCTTTGATTATTTTCATCAGTGTCTTACAGTTTTCTGCATACAGGTCTTTTGTCTCCTTAGGTAGATTTATTCCTAGGTATTTTATTCTTTTTGTTGCCATGGTAAATGGGAGTGTTTCCTTCATTTCTCTTTCAGATTTTTCATCATTAGGTTATAGGAATGCCAGAGATTTCTGTGCATTAATTTTGTATCCTGCTACTTTATCAAATTCATTGATTAGCTCTAGTAGGTTTCTGGTAGCATCTTTAGGATTCTCTATGTATGCTATCAGGTCATCTGCAAACAGTGACAGTTTTACTTCTTCTTTTCTGATTTGGATTCCTTTTATTTCTTTATGTCTTGTTCCTGATCTTAGTGGAAATGGTTTGTTTTTCACCATTGAGAATGATGTTGGCTGTGGGTTTGTCATATATGGCCTTTATTATGCTGAGGAAAGTTCGCTCTATGCCTACTTTCTGGAAGGTTTTTACCATAAATGGGTGTTGAATTTTGTTGAAAGCTTTTTCTGCATCTATTGAGATGATCATATGGTTTTTCTCTTTCAATTTGTTAATATAGTGTATCACATTGATTGATTTGAATATACTGAAGAATCCTTGCATTCCTGGGGTAAACCCCACTTGATCATGGTGTATAATCCTTTTAACGTGTTGTTGGATTATGTTTACCTGTATTTTGTTGTGGATTTTTTCATCTATGTTCATCAGTGATACTGGCCTGTAGTTTTCTTTTTTCTGTGACATCTCTGTCTGGTTTGGTATCAGGGTGATGGTGGCCTCACAGAATGAGTCTGGGAGTGTTCCTCCCTCTGCTATATTGTGGAAGAGCTGGAGAAGGAAAGGTGTTGGCTCTCCTCTAAATGTTTGATAGAATTCGCCTGTGAAGCCATCTGGTCCTGGGCTTTTGTTTGTTGGAAGATTTTTAATCACAGTTTCAATTTCAGTGCTTGTGATTGGTCTGTCTGTATTTTCTATTTCTTCCTGGTTCAGTCTCAGAAGGTTGTGCTTTTCTAAGAATCTGTCCATTTCTTCCAGGTTGTCCATTTTATTGGCATAGAGTTGCTTGTAGTAATCTCTCATTATCCTTTGTGTTTCTGCAGGGTCAGCTGTTACTTCTCCTTTTTCATTTCTAATTCTATTGATTTGAGTCTCCTCCCTTTTTTTCTTGATGAGCCTGGTTGATGGTTTATCAATTTTGTTTATCTTCTCAAAGAACCAGCTTTTAGTTTTATTGATCTTTGCTATTGTTTCCTTCATTTCTTTTTCATTTATTTCTGATCTGATCTTTATGATTTCTTTCCTTCTGCTAACTTTGGGGTTTTTTTGTTCTTCTTTCTCTAACTGCTTTAGGTACGAGGTTAGGTTGTTTATTCGAGATGTTTCCTGTTTCTTAAGGTAGGATTGTATTGCTATAAACTTCCCTCTTAGAACTGCTTTTGCTGCATCCCATAGATTTTGGGTCGTCGTGTCTCCATTGTCATTTGTTTCTAGGTATTTTTTTATTTCCTCTTTGATTTCTTCAGTGATCACTTCGTTATTAAGTAGTGTATTGTTTAGCCTCCACGTGTTTGTATTTTTTACAGATCTTTTCCTGTAATTGATATCTTGTCTCACAGTGTTGTGGTCAGAAAAGATACTTGAAACAATTTCAGTTTTCTTAAATTTACCAAGGCTTGATTTGTGACCTAAGATATGATCTATACTGGAGAATGTTCCATGGGTACTTGAGGAGAAAGCGTATTCTGTTGTTTTTGGATGGAATGTCCTATAAATATCAATTAAGTCCATCTTGTTTAATGTATCATTTAAAGCTTGTGTTTCCTTATTTTCATTTTGGATGATCTGTCCATTGGTGAAAGTGGGGTGTTAAAGTCCCCTACTATGATTGTGTTACTGTCGATTTCCCCTTTTATGGCTGTTAACATTTGCCTTATGTATTGAGGTGCTCTATGTTGGGTGCATAAATATTTACAACTGTTATATCTTCTTCTTGGATTGATCCCTTGATCAAGATTATCTGTTGAAGAATCTTTCAGAAAGACTTCTCTTTGTATAAGATCCATTTGTAGAAATAAGTCCCTGGGAAAGCCTAGGTCAGAAATGTAAAATTGGTGTGCTTTAACTAGCTTTCTTTGGTCCACACTACCTGTCTTTCTAAAGTCAAATTCATTTTTAATTTGCAAAATCAGTAGATATTATCTTATAAAAATTCCTATTTCCGACTCTTCGTGGAAAATCAGAAGAACTGTGCATGAACTTACATTCCCACGTGGCCACCACTGGCTGGAGCTGATTGGGTGCCTTTGGATGGGACATGTGCTCTTCCAGGTCACCCCCCATTCCACTTGGTCTGCATCGTCTACCTGGCTAGCCCTTGTAAGAATCTATTTGTAACTCTGCTATTTATTTGGTCTGCTTTGTATTGTGACTGGAACATGAAAAAAGTAAAAACCCTGGTCTCTAACAAGGGTGAAGCTTGATGTTTAGAAACAACAAAACATTGCTTGAATTAGCAAAGTAAGTTAACAAGGTAAAAATAAAATCTGTAGTGTAGTTGTGAACTACTTTTAAACAGTTTCCACTGCACTTCACGATTTTGCCTTTTAACCCAACATGTCTCTACACTGTGGCAATGCCTGAAAGCTGGATGACACCACTTACACTTAAGTGTGTCTCCATACACAGATTGTAACGTATATGACCCACCCTGTAGCTTAATATGATACAAATCCCTGGGGAGGCCAACAGCACACCTAGACCCTCACCTTGGCTCTTGTCCCTAACTGCATGACCACAGGCAAAGCCCTCTGGGGTTCAGCTCTTCATTCATATAATGAGGGTACGGGACTAGGTCTCTCTTAGACTGGGATTTGATTGTTTGAGACCATCAGCACATTTATAAGAATTGTGGAAATATCTTTTAGGTAAAACAAATAACTCAAGGGAAACTTGTTTTAGAAAATATTTTAGAAAAGGGATGCTTTCCAAGAGTACAACAAGAAAATTAAAACTTTATCATCAAAATATGCTGACTTATCCATTCCCTGTTTACAAGATAGTTTTAAATTTTAAAAAAGCCAAAATTATATCCCATTATTTACCCTAGAAGTTGCTACTTAAAGACAACATACTATGAAGCCAGGATTTTAGAAAGGAGAAATGTAAAAATTGAAATAATTGATATAAATTTATATGCTAAAAATTGGTTATTTAGTCATATCTCTTCAAAGGAGTCAGTGAAAACCCTCGAAAGATGAAATCAGGCTCCATTCATTTCCTTCCCTCTGATATTTGCTATTTAGCTAATTATTTCGGAAGCCTATATATTAAAGCTTAATGCATTCTCTCAGATCCAAAATTTATTAAGATCCTTTTTTTTTTGCCAGATAAAAGTTTTTTTTATAGTAACAAGTTTGCATACTATGTACAAAAATGATTATAAGTAAAATTTTATAGGACACCTGTGTAGGAAGAACCCTAAACAGGCCCTCAAATTTCCTTCCCTAATTTCTGTGACTGTGAATATGAAGGATACCACACCTGTGATCTGCACTACTTGATAAAAGGGATTTTGCAGATGTAATGAGATTCTTAGTCAGGTGACCCTGAGTTAATCAAAAAGGAGACTACCCAGGTGATGCTGACACAATACATGATTAAAGCAGTTTTCTCCACTGGTGGTAGGAGAGGTCAGATTTCTGAAGTGTGAGGGAGATGTGACACACCAGTGCTGGCTTTAAGATGGTGACAAGGAGTGTGGGTACCTCAGGGAACTGAGAGAGGTCTCTGGCTGACAGCCAGCAATGAATCGGGGACCTCGGTTCTACAACCACAAGGAACTGAATTCTGCCGACAACTTGAATGAGTCTGGGAGTGGATTTCCCCTGAGTCTCCAGTCAAGGACTCAGCCCAGCTGACATCTTAGTTACAGCCTTAAGATACTCAGAGCAAAGGACCCACTGGACTTGTGACTTACAGAACCATGTGCTAATAAGTGGGTGTTTGTGGTGATTTATTACACAGCAATAGAAAACTAACACAACGCTGAGGAATTACCTATTATTAGGAAGGACAAGAAAACCAACTGAATATATGAATGCTACATTTTTCAGAGTGCTTAAGTTTCAAAGTTGATTTGTTAGGCTGTTTCATGTTGAGAAAAACAATGTGTGTTGAAAAGTAGAAGTGATAATTCTCAGGAAATGGGGCAAACTAAAGTCCAGAATACATGTGCAACATTCAAACTAGATTTTAATTACAGCAAAGTAAAATTATACACTAAAAACCCTAGACGTTTCAATTTCAAACTCAAAAGAAATCAAATACAGCAGAGATGCTTACCCTATTTTGAAAAAATGATGCATGAAAATGTGATGTTGTAGCAGATATTGATACTAAAGTAATAGTTTCTTCAGAACTAGGGTTATGTAAGTAAACTTTTTCCATTTTTGGCATTCCAACTGGTCTGTAAAAACAAAAAGAAAACCGTTACAAATACTTCAAAGACAATTTCTAGTTTTAGAGTTAACCTCTAGTTGTTAAATAATTAAACATCAAAATTATTTAGACAAATACATACCCAAACGTATGAAATTATAAATTAGTTTATACCTAAAATTACACATATTTAAAATGCATGCATTCGCTATTCAGCAAATAAAATTATTGAGTGCCAACTGTATGTCACACACTGAGCCAGGTACTGGGATGTAAGGAGGCAAGTCTCCACCCGGCTGAAGCTTACAATCTAGTGAGGAAGCATGCAGGGAACAAAACGGTCAGATCCCTTTATTGCTTTCTGTAATACCACCTACCGCCTGCTTCTCTGCTAATTCTGAATCTTATCCTCCTCTCCCCAAATTCCACTGATAGATGCTCTTCAATTTAGAAGAAGTTTAGTGGCAACGTTAGGTGAGCAGATCTGCCTTACGAGTTAGGGGCTGTTGTTATACTCATTTTACAGATGAGGACACCAAGGCACAGAAAGCTTAATTAACTTACCTAAAGTCATACTTGGAGCCTCACTCTGAATCCAGGCCACCTGGCTCTAATCCCTGCTCTAACCCTCTCAAAGGAACAGTATAAAGCACACACTCGAGGTCTGATATCCACAGACTCATTTTAATGTTCCCCATGGCATCCACATTACAGTTTGTCTGAAAAGTGAAACCTCCTCAGTACGTAGTCCATTAAGTACTTACGTTGCTAATCATATTTGCACAGGCTTCCTAGCTTGACAGCTTAAGAGAATTCTGCAAATGAATTACGTTTTTTCAGAGTTCTCTCTAGTTATTTAATTGGCACCTGTCTTATTTCCTCAACAAGATTATCAGTACCTTAAGGACGAAGTTTACGTTGTATGCGCACTGTGTATTCCTCGTATTGTCTAGCACAGAACCAGGCACCTGGTGAGAGCGTGCATGGGGCAGCTTGCCCGCCCCTGGCCCTGCCCACGACCTCAGTGGTTACAATCTAGTGAAGAAGCAGGCAGGGAACAAAACAGTCAGATCCCTTTCTTTCTCTCTGTAATACCACCTGCTGTTATGAAGTGGTTATCAGCCCCCCTAATCTGGAATCACTCAGCCTCCACGCGTGATTCCCTGTGTTTCCACCTGAGTCAGGCTGGTTCCATGTGCGTGACCCCCATGCCTTTACCAATGTCTTTGCTCTGTGTTTTCTTCCCTATCCTCTATGTGAATCCAAACCCTCATGTTCTAATTCAGTTACAATTTCTGTCACAAGGTCCTCTTCTTGTACAATCATTTTGGCCTATGTTTTCTGAAATTTTATTTCATCTGTATAAACCTCAAATTCTAAGCAGTTGAGGATGCAGCGCCAGAATTACGTTTTACATGTGGTTCAACTGTCCACCATGCTTTTGTCCTTCAGGAATTTTTGCCCCTGCCTTTTCCTCAGTTCAGTTTACCACTTGTAACTTATGATGTTGGAAAACCGATAAAACAGTGAACAGCTGATAACTTTCACTAGTTTAAAAAACAAACAAACCAGGGGCTTTGGGCTCCTTTTAAAATGGTGAGTTTGTTAGTATATGTTACTGGTTCTCCCTGACACCCCCTAACAGCTGCATATACAAACAACAACGCTGGAAAACTTCAGAAGTCAATCCCTGATTCCAAGGATTAACCGAAAACAGCAAGAAACCCTTGGGGGAACAGAAGGCTGCCTGAACTGGCAGGTGGGGAGAAGTGAGGGACACAGAGCAGCCCAGGCCGACAACGAGGAGCCAGGAATGACTCTCCTCTTCTCCATTCCCTTCCCTGCTTGCCTTGGTACAATCAAAGCCTCCCCCTTCAACCCAGATGGCAGAAAGGCTCACTGGGGTAAGAAGCTGATGATCAGCTACACTTGAGGACACCCGCCTCTACACTCCTCTCTCTGGTCCTCCAAAGCCCTAAAGTTGTTAGATTACAACTTAGGAAGATACCTCTTGCAGACACTTCTGCCTAAGCACTGTCAGACAGAGTGGTGGGAACATAGGACAAGCAATAGTTTTTATGTGACTGTGTGTATGTAACTCGACCTCTCCACCCTGGGGATCATCTCCCTTCTTAAATTCACAAGAAGAGACAAAGAGAAAGGCTTGGTCTTCTGCTCTTCCTCAATATGCATTATAAGGCAGCAACTCAGAAGTTCACACATCAAAATAACATGATCTGTGAGTAGTAGTACAGTCAAGTTGAAAACATATACAATGTTGTGATAGACCACAATGTTGTTCCCAATTTGCTGACTGAACTGGTGAGAGGCTTGTATCTCTCCACTTCATTAACATTAGGCCAATGAAATGTGAGCAAAAGTGACATATATGATTAAGTTTTAAGAGTCTTCTTGCACTCTGTTTCTTCTGCCAAGTAAATGGCATTTCACAGATAGGAGTGCTCTTCTAGTCTAAATCCCACTGGGTCGTTTGTGATCACAGCATAACCTAGTAAAGGCTGAATAATGCATACCTGAAGCTGCAAAAGTTAAACCAAGAAATAAAAATAAGCATAATGGAATATGCTTAAGGAGAAATGGCAAGATACTAGTAAAATGAAGAAAGCCTACAGAAAACAGGAGAAAATATCAGCAGAAAACAATGTATAAAGATAATGGATGGGATAGGTAGATAAAAATCTATTCGTGAGTTGGAAGATCAGATTGACAATTTAGTTCCAAATTCAGTAAGAAAGAATATATATTTAGAATATTTTAAAAGAGCTATAAAAATCAAAAGAAAAACAGATATGTAGAACATAGCTAGACGTGGTAATATCTGGAAAATGGAGTGTGGGAATACTTGAAGAATAGGGACAAAAACAATGGGCAAAACCCAAAATTTTTTTTAAAAAATGAAATAATTCTTGATTGAAAGGGTTTATGAAATGTCAACAAGGAGAGATAAGGAAACCCTGTACTTAATAAGCACACAGCAAAATTTAAGGAGTTGCAAGAGTTTTTTATACATTATGGATATAAGCCTCTTAGGAGATATTTGCAAATATTTTCTCCCATTCGGTGGCTATCTTCACCTTCTTTTTTTTTTGTTTGTTTTTTTTTGCGGTACGTGGGCCTCTCACTGCTGTGGCCTCTCCCGTTGCGGAGCACAGGCTCCGGCCGCGCAGGCTCAGCGGCCATGGCTCAGGGGCCCAGCCGCTCCGCGGCATGTGGGATCTTCCCGGACCGGGGCACGAACCCGTGTCCCCTGCAACGGCAGGAGGACTCTCAACCACTGCGCCACCAGGGAAGCCCCTTTTCACCTTCTTGATGGTATCATTTGCAGCACGAAGGTTTTTAATTTTTATGTAATCCAACGTGTATATTTTATCTTTTGTCACTTGTGCTTCTGGAGCCATACCTAAGAAAATATTGTACAAATCACTGCATAATGGAGATACATTACAATGTTTTCCTCTAAGGTTTTATAGTTTAGCTATGTTACATTTACATTTAGCTCTATGATACATTTTGAATTAATTTTTGTGTATGGTGTCAGGTAGGGGATCCAACTTAATTCTTTTGCCAGTTGTCTTAGCACCATTTGTTGCAAAGATTATTCTTTCTACATTTAATTGTCCTGGCACCCTTGTCAAAATCAATTTACAATAAATGTAAAGTTCTATTTCTGGAATCTAAATTCTTTCCCATTTATCTACATGGCAGTATTACAGGGTCTTGACTACTAAAGCTCTTTAGAAGGCTTCTGACATTGGGAGCTATTAGTCTTCCAACATTGGTCTCCTTTTAAAAAACTGTTTGGCTATCCTGGATACTTCTTATTTTACATATGAATTTTAATACCAGCTTGCCAATTTCTGTAAAAAAGTCAGTTGTGGTTTTGATGGGGATTGTGTTGAATCCACAGATCAATTTAGGGAGTACTGCCATTCTCATTTGTGTCTTCTGATTTATGAATATGGGATGGTTTCTATTTACTTAGTTCTTTAATTTCTTTTGACGATGGCGTGGCATTTTTAGTATACAGCACTACTTTTAAAAAATTTGTATATAAGTATTTTATTATTTTTGATGCCACTGTAAATGGAATTGTCTTCTTAATTTTGATTGTCCATTGCCAGTGTATAGAACAGATATTTTTGTATATTGATCTAATATCCTGTAACCTTGCTGAACTCACTTATTCTATTTTTTTTAAAACGTGGATTGCTTAGGATGTCCTATGTACAAGAGTATAACATCTGAAAACAGAGATGGTTTAATTCTTCCTTTCCAAATGCCATTATCAAAAGTGGGGTACCTAAATCTCCAACTATTACTATTGAACTGTTTTTTCCCTTTAGTTCTGTTAGTGTTGCTTCCTATATTTTGGGTTTCTGTTGTTAGTTGTGTGTTGCTTTTTTAATGTGACAATCTTGGTCTCTTAATTGGTGTGTTTAGACTATTTATATTAAATGTAATTATTTTTATGGTTAAAGTCTACCATCTTGCTAGTTATTTTCTATTTGTTCCATCGCTTCTTTGTTTAGAACCCTTTTATATACAGAATTTTCTAGTCCTGGCCCCAATTAAACTAGAAATCAGTAACAAACAGATAAACAGATTCTCTATAAATATGTAAATAAACCAACATGTGTAAACAGCTCATGGATCAAAGATGAAATCTGAATAAAAATTAAGAACTACCTGGAACTGAATCAAAATGAAGAAATTAACTCATTAAAAACTTGTGGAATACAGTTCAAGTTGTGCTTAAACGAAAATTCATAAATCTAAATGTACATATTTGAGAAGAAGAAAGCCTGAAAATGAGCTAAGCATCCATGTCATTAGAAAAAGAATAGCAAATTAAAATAAGAAAGTACAAGGAAAGAAATAATACAAATAAGAGTGGAAATCAATGAAGCAAAACATAAAATAGAGATGATTTATGAAGTCAAAAATTCCCATTTTGGCAGGGGGGGACTAATAAATTGTTAAGTACCTGGCAAGATGAATAAAGAAAAA